GGATTCGAATCACGCGAGCGGGGTCGTGGATACGCACTGCTGAGGAGTCCAATAATAAGACGAGACGGCCATCTAGTGCTTCCAGGTTTTTACTGGTGGTCTAACATCAATCAGTTAATGATTTTAATCAAAAATTTAACGACCTCCACAACTCCACACTGATGAAAAATTATAGTAATTTTTTACAGTTAAAAATGCATTCCAAATAGAAATTACTCAAAGAGATCTCTTATGAATAGTTTTATTAGTTAATATCTGCCGCCTATAATTAGTCTCCAAAGGTTTCCACAAAACTATTTTTTTAGAGGAAAGGCAAATTGAAAATTATCAGTGTATTTTTGTAAGCAGAGATAAATGGTGAGTAGCACTGGAATCTAGGACGTCCGTTTCATTCAATTTGGGACATATTAATTGAACGTATCTGCAACCTGAAGTTGATGTCAGTACATCCGAATGAGGAGTCCCAAATAGAATGAATCAGACGTCCAGGATTATACTTTTAGTTACTGTCCACACCTCCGTAAAACACTTATGACTTGTGGCTTTATTAAGGCAATGTGCACTGAATGCACAGATATCAAAAGATATAAATCAATAACATCCGTTAATGTCAATTAGAAAATTATTAATATGGTTTAAATTCACTTGGTGTTGTTTACTTGGAACTTCTCGTTGTTATTTAGGATTGCAAATGATCAGTCTGTTGTTGGCATAAATACATCCTGTGTCGCTTCCCTCAATATAGCCTTAAGTTACAAGCTTTATTAACAAAGATTTATAGTGGCTAAAAGTGGAAACCAAAACACGCGTTTCGTCCTATTTGGGACTCGTTAAGTACTTGCATCCCAGAATTGATGTTTAATATGAGACTCCAACGCAGTACCGTTCGCTTTAAACACGATCGCATTATCCACTTAGCTACTGAGCCCTGATAACCACTTACTTGTACAATAAGGTGAAGTTTAAATTCACTTGGTATTATTTATTTATATCTTCCCATTGTCATATATGAATTAAAGTGATTTATTTCTTATATTATTGATCACATAAGTTTTTCCCATTAATATAGCCAATCCTTAACTTTATTGATTTTAAAAGTGTATAGAAAGATAATTAATCACAAAACTTTAGGTTTTTTTCTTTTTCATTAATCTAGGAAATTGAATTGTTCCTTCTTTACAAGTCCTATTGTTTAGACTGAAATTATATATTACACTGTTATAACCTAGTGAAGATCAAATTACGGATGACTTCTGAGAACTATTAATGGATTAATATTATGTATATAAATTCTTACTGTATAACTATTCAGTAACTAGACTGTGCACATTTATATTCTTCATATTATAAGCTTCATTTCGACTTATAAATTATTATTGTACAATTTACCGTTCTTAAGTTATACCCAGTTTATTGATCACATTCTCCCACCTTTACAGCCACTTTTTGGATTGATCTTGTATAAATGTTATTTCCTATTTTATGGTGTAATGGGTCTGTTCGGTTGGTATATAAACCAAGTATGTTTGAAATAAATGATTCGCATAGCGGAAGCTGTTATTGGTATTCTGGACTGAACTGTATAGGTTAGGCGAGCAAGGGACTAATAAGGACGCTAGACTGATCAGACCGGTCGAAAGTCATTGGTTTAGTACAGTACAAAAGTGAATAAGTCGTATTTTGATTAGCGAATAAATCACATGATAACTAGCCTTCCTTGAAGTCACAACAAATACTTTGCACAATATGTAATTATAAATAAATATCATACTACTGAAATATTCACACATGCAAAATAACGAGTTTAAAACATTTAAGTAAATCCTACAAAACCTTAAATAGTGTGACATCGTGTATCATCAACTTTATTTGAGGAGTTTTTTATTGATTAAATTGAAACGTATGATTGTTTTTGTAAAAACTAAAAAACAGTATAGGGTATAAGTTATGTCAAGGAGTTTGTCTTTAATAATGGTTTTTATTATCAAGTGATTATAGAAAACTGCATTCAGTTTGACTAAAGTAAATGTCTTCTGCACTTCACTTCATAACTTCTAAGTTGTAACTTTCACTTAAGAATTACAATTTTAGGAACAATACTCTATTTGAAACGGTGAATACATTTGGTCTTCTTTATATCTTATTCATATGTTTCGTGATGAATTTCGTTAGATATACTGAATGGGTTACGAATATTACTCACTTAATCTATAATGGTGTCATTAAAGTCAGGATATATTTTAAGTTTCTTCTATATCCGATTAACACAGTACCATAGAAATGAGTATACTGTTCAACTGAAGATTTTCTATGAATCTCTAGTGTTATATAATTCATTGTAATTATACTTATCTTAGAACAGAAGTTGATAAAAGATCAATCCAAAAGGGTTGTCATGTTTCAAATTAGATAGAAATGTATACGATCCACAATGATGTTTAAGAGATCACCAAGGTAAAAAAAAAGACGAAATAAGTCTGCTAAAAACAAAACATTTCGTACATTTTGAACGAAATATGTCCTCAAAATGAAATAATCCTAGTAAATAGCTCAAGATCAGTCTTGTCCAACCATGACGATAAGACAGAGCTTTCACCAAACTTTCATAAATTTGTAGTAAAGACATTAGAGATACGATTTATTAAATAGAAGCATTTAATAAAATTTACGAAAGCTTGATTGTTAAAACAAATCGTCTTAGTTGGGTACAACGTAATTCCCTTGATACATTTGGCTGACATAAACTTTGATTTTATGCTTATCGACAATAATAAATTAAACATACTAGATAAAGGAAAAAACAGACCCTTTTGTTCATACTTCACAATAATAATGACTGTACGCGCCTTAATGAACAGTACTAATTTCGAAGCAACTAGTAGATATGATTTCTTTACTATAGATTCCAAACGTTGCTTCATGATTGGGCTACCTTAGCTTTTGATGAGGAGTAAAGCGATAAAGTGCGTCAACCGTCTCTTTTATCCTAGGAGTTTAATCGGTCCTGATGTCTGACAAAGTTTCGATCTAGATTCAGAAAGACTGATTGGCATGTGCCAACTCAAATCACCTGCAGCGTAGGCGATGCGCTCGTTTATTATTCAAAAATGGTTATAATTATGAAACTTCGTAATTTGTTAAAGATAAAAACCCAAGTTGCTTATCCAAAGAAATACTAAAAATTTATTCGTTCTTTGAACTTCAATTGAAACTCTAGAAATCTTGCTTCCAGACAGTTTCCTTAGCTTACATCCTGAAGTTTATTATACCGTTTTTTTTAAGAAACCAGTTAATTTACCGTCTTTGGTATCTATTACGACTTATTTTCACAATATTATGAACTGGTTACTATAGACTGTTTCTTCTAGATATTTTTGGCTTGCTCAAAGTCATAGAAATTTGAACTAGTGAAAGAACAATGCAAAAGTGAACGATTTGAGTTCATTTTTATGTGTAACTAAATTGAGGAAAGAAATAAGCTCTACTTGCTAAAATCACTGGTTATTCGGGGATGAAAAGCACTTGGAAAGTCTACAAATCCTGGCAAAAGAGCTACATAGACTATTATCAAAAACTGTGAAGACTCTATGAGCAACTAAAATGTTCTGAAGCTGTTTTTGTATTGAACGTTTAGTCTACTACGTTTCAACAAGATCCAACTAACGTGTAACAACAAATAAATATTTACGTTTATTTTACCGACTTTGTTAACTGTGTAATGGTAAAATACCAACCTATTAGTGTACATATGGTGACTTTTAAATTACATTCATTAAAAAGTTTGAATAAATCAGCCAAGGGGCAGTAAAAGGTTAGGGCTAAATGACGCAATTCCAACACCACGAAAACTCATGCAGACTGTTTTTTCAAAACTCACCGGGTGAAAATCAATCTACCTGTTCGTTATGTATAGAGATGGGAAAACATAATAGCATATTAGGAAATCATGTCATTGCTCATGGACGAGACTGAGGCTATAGATATTAAGTTTGCAAATTTTGTATAACCGTTGAGGCCTATTTAGTCCTATCGATTCGCAAACCCGATTCCGTGTAAGGAACTCCCTCTGAAGTAAAAGTACTAGAGCTTTTCTAAACTCTAATAACATAAACATTATCCAATTTGATAATGACTTTTACTTGATGCAATGAAAGATCTTTCATATTAACGAATCATGTGCGTTGTTTCCATGTACCAAGCTGATTGTGTACTACGGCATCTTTTTAAAGTTTGAATACTATGAGTGTGAATACAGTTCCATGAAATTTCATAGGATTTAAAAATAAAAATTCACCCGTAAAGGACACTCATTAAAGTTTCGCATCAGTTTAAAAATTCTTTCCAGGTGTTCATTAAGGGTAATTTAAGGAAAACTATGGACAGTGAATTTTTTAGTCGCGTATCATTCATTATTTAGACTACGCAAGCGATGTTTGTAGTACTATTACAGTGATGACACTGATGAGCACCTAAAAAAGGCTTAGTTATAAAAACGATCGTCAGCGACTCCAAAGGTGATTTCGCGAGATATAAACCACTTATGTAGATCTAAATAGATTTGATGTGAAGCTTTAAGAATGAAGATCAGAAGTTAGAGAAAAGAGACAGGAATAAAGATAAATAATGTGGAGTTCATCGAGCAATCACATGGGCTATGACGCAATAATCATACTAAGACGTAACAAGGAGTACATTTGATGCGAAAATTTAAAAGGCTTGACTTAAAATCAGATAACCTCGTCCTTATACATTAGTTACATTCTACTCATTCGAAATTTACATTTGTAGACCAAGAAATCATAATGTATGACTTTTATTAATACCAGCTATACCTTTGTGAAATTTTGGTATTGTCTTTACATTACTTTCTAGAATAACAGTTGAACTGAATACAGACATTTCAAAGTGTATCTTGAAGCAAGCTCACTGTTCTTAGTCTCTTAATTCACCAACTTAAACACTGTAAATTACTTAAAATGACGAAAATTGATTGGACTTACTCCCAATCATAGCACACGCTAACTTGAAGGTTGTTTTGTATGACTAACGGTTACCAAGGTCAACATCACCTGTACTCATAAGTTCGCCAAAAATACGTCCTTTGAAGTTGTAGTTATCGAATAGAAAAAACAACTCATAATCTTGATTCTGAGCTTATAAATATTTATGCAGTGTATCTGATTTTTCTGAAAGACAAGAAAAATGGGTGCTTTTTGGATTCAAATTCGTTACTGAGTAATTTGAAACAGTGATTAAGCCACATATAATCCCTATAAATTGTTAGAAGGAAAAGTTCAGTTTATTCAATCTTTCTTTCCATTTCGGTTAACTAGTTCAAAAAATCAACTTATTTGCAGCTTTTTAAACTTGATTTTAGCTACTTGTTGTTCAGCGGTGAAATTATGATTACTAATGTCTAAGTTCCCTGTGTGAGCCATGGCAGCAGATGATAGATGAAATAATTTAAATGGGTGGTAGACAGACTGCAGCGCTCAGTAATCAGTTACACCATACAATTTTACGACAAGCAAGTCCTTGGGTAGTCTGTTTATTGCCAATACAATAGCTCAAGCATTCATTTTCACCTGAAAATATTATTATTCAGTTTCTTGAGTGGTAAAACTCTATCATAATAGCTGAGTATTTAGTGTCAGGCAATAATCAACACAAAATCTTTGTTTTTTTTCAGTACTCTTTAATGGAATCACGAATGATATTGTTTATGATGATCAGAAGTATTCGTATTAATATGCTGAGAATTTTGGAAATTGTGCTTTTTAGGCCGGGTAGAACTAAATGAGCACAAACGAACGTAGTGTGCTTAAAATTCAGGTACAGACGAGTCATCAGATAGCACAAATACCACATTTATATTCCGTTTTCAGACAGTTTACATAGCTCATTCCTCACAACCTATTTTGAACCATTTTGGGTGAATCTACGCTTCAAGAAGATGGAATGTTCCTTTACTTATGAAAGTACTGCATGAATTTTCATTCCTACCACGGTCTTCCAGTATTGTAAGGACAGATATCTGTTTATAGCACCTTCAGGAACATTAGTATATAAAGGAATGTGTACGATTAGCAATCTTAGGCTAATTAGACCAAGCACAGACTAGCCATAGTCGCCAACTAGAAAATAAATAATAAAACAACTCCCCTCTTCGTACCACAGTGGAATGCTAACTATACCAATAATCGTTAACTGGTGATTAACCATTCAAATGATCGCATTACTTGTGAGCTTTAAATTGACATCATTAAAAAGAGACGTTAAATTCCTCCTGAAAATAATTGACTGTACGCTACTTGTATCAGACTTACTTGTGTTAGCAATTAATTCTTAAATCAAACATGAAGTGCTTCTGAAGTCAGTAGTGAGTGACACTGAATCCATCCTTTTTTCTAAATCAGTTAATCTTAATCCACCATGATTCAGTGTCTCATTGGTAAATGACTTGGATCTCTGACAAACTTTGCACATATGTCCATCGTTTTTATAGTCACAGAAGTGTGCATAACGAAACTGACATGAAATAGAAAGATGAAGCATATTACATGAAGGACAGATATTTATACCTGAAGACGAATGAAGGCACTTTTCAAACTATTTGCATGTCTGAATAATAGTCGGGAATGTTCCTGCTAGAAGTTCGAGGTTTCTGGAGTCTAAAGAATTTATTCATATTCACTCACAAAACTTCATGTTGTTTCGTAGCGGCATGACTAAAATCAATATAAGCACTTCTATGGGTAAAACAGGAGTGCTCAGCCATTTTAAAAGTTCACAAAAGGATTCGTACGAGCTGCATCTCTCGTTTACAATCATTTTTACCAGCAGTCAGGCAGTCACGAAGTTGAACGTGCAGCCGTTTACTGAAAACACACTTAGAATCTTGTGTCTGAAGCTGAAGTACAAAATTTCTGGTAGTCTGATTTGGAGAAGTAATGTATTTGTTGAACTGTATATTTCCATGCGTTTCTAATTATGATAGGTGGAAACCATGTGTTAGTTATCCCTTTAATCTGTTGAAAGAAGGTATAATAGTTTTCTTAGAATATCTTAGGTTTTCATTAACAAACGATGAAGAAATAGTTTTCATTAAACATTTGACGCACTGCTTTGAATAAGGAGGTTCTCTAAGTTCGATTAGCGGAAATAATTATCGAAAAATAATCCAAAGTATATGAAATCTGTAGCTTATGGAAAATAAATATTTATTAGGAAGACAAGAAAGAAATAATAGGATAAAGTGGTAAAACAGCATGTTACAACAACAACAACACATCGCTCCATGACAGATATATCCCATTACCGCCTCACTCAGAATTTACACTGATAAATTTGGAAACTGTGGTGTTTGAATGAAACAATGATTCCTTTGTACTTGTTGAATGCTTGATTTCGAATTATAAATACAGTACATTCGTTTGTGTTTATCCAGTACTTCTTGATCCGATTATTATTTCTAGGATTCTTAGTACATACTATAATTCAATTACTCCTAATCATCATAGTAACGCAATTTAAGGAGCTAAGAGTTTTGTATTGACGATGATTGATGGTCTGTACTTATTTAAAGATTAGAGTATAAAGATGTTAACAAGTCTACCTGGTGCAACGTTGGGTGAGTGAATAATTCGTTTACTGACAAATCGCCAATCATACTTGAGTCTATAAATTAATTATGGCTTTGCAAAATGCATAATTTACCTCCTTTCTCAACAACAATTAATTCAGTCAGGCCAGCCCAGAATATTACATTTCATTTCTGAGAAATTCTGCTCATAAGATCCACCTATCCGAGCTCTTAAGCAAACGTATAACTTTTTAAATCAAATTCATCGAACGCACTTCAAAGAACAATCCGACTTTTGACTCACATACTTCTTGAGTCTAATGTGAACTCGAATATCTCTTGAAAACAATTGGAAATATCCAGTTTTTGCAACCACGTTGAGATATTTAAACACTTTCAAAGATACGAACTACATCTTCACCTTCCTGATAAGCAACCATAACAACAAATCTGGCCAAGAGATCCCGAGTTACGTATTAGTCCTCGATTTTGAGCAAGCCCTTGGCATAGAACCTCATATATTTCTCATGGCGAGTGTTGCGAAGATTGGTATCACTGACTCACTTCTATTCTAGCTCCGAAACTGCCAAGAAAACAGGGTATATTGTGTCAGGGTAAGTAGAGTCAATGTGAGTTGGCGAATTTCAGCGTCAGTAGTTTAACAAGAGATAATTTTAGGTTCTGTCTACTCAGCTTCACTGATCTACGCATACAACGCAAAGGTCTGGAAGTCCAAATAATCCAAAACGGTTGAAGCAAGCTCGTAACAAATATATTGGAAATATGCTAGACGTCCAACAACACATCGAGATTCGCTCACCATTAAGTATTTGCGTGAACAACAGTCAAAGTCACTTATAGGAAACTACTCTGGAAGGGTTTTTAAAAGCTAAATTATCGTTATTGTTTGATGTAGAATTATAACCATGGACATCGGACAGTGAATTCGTTTGAATGCACCAAATTATTATACAATTTAAGAAATACAAACTACACGGAAAGTGACGACAAAAACGTTAAGCTAAAACTCTGAATTCTCACGTATATGTTACACATTATCGAGTATTTTTGGTGTCGTTATTTACCAGCTATTAACAAAATTTTTGCCGTCAAACGTCGACTTTCGTATTGTTTGTGTTTGCTACATAACCTTTATCCCAATTAATTAGTAGTACAACGTAGTTGTTGGTCACCAATCGGATGAATATCAAGTCAACTTACTGTGAATATTTGTATCAATATAAACTCAAATAAGTGAAATTCACTATTAATCAAATCTGAGATAGAAAATATCCAAATTTTTAAAGACGATAATGAGCTCTAAAAACCTTTAACATTCGATTCATCATCCTAAAGTTTGTTGATGAATATGGATGTATAGTAATTGTTTACTAAATGCGGGTTGAAGCACTTTTGTGTTAATCTATTTTCGAACATTATATAATTTGTTATTATACGATCAACAACAGTTCTAACCAGTATACGTATCATTTTCTGACGAACTGACATATTAATAGGCGAGACTGTAATTTATGGATGACCCTTGAACGAATCTGAAGTGACCTTGGTGAGGATTAGCCAAACGGTAAACTGTCAGTATAGAGTAAAAATATATTATGCAAAACCAAGGAAATAAAGTAGATACACTCCTCACACATGGTTCAAAAAATGTCAACAGCTATAATACCAAAACTTTATTTAGCCAAATGGGTGGAAGGCTTTCGCGCCAAAGTCAGAGATCTGGTAGCTTATACATGATTGAATCTTCCATAAATTATAGTCTCGTCATTTTATTTGTTATAGCCACTCAGTTTTCACGTTTTGAATAAAATCGCCTGTGAACCGATCGTACGTTAGCATTAAGCGCTGAGGTTGGCGCTGTGACCTTGAAATCCCTCGAACTCTTCCAATTGACTCGTCCATAAATTAGAGTCTCGCCGAAAAACAAGTCATGTTTGTTTCGAGCATGGTAACTGAACAATGTTGTTACTTAATACGAATTTGTGGTGTGTCTGTTATAGAGATTGCGATTGAATTTCTTTAAACAGAATCTACAATCACTGATCAAATTTATAAACAAATATATAATGCATATCGATGAATAATATCTACATAGTTCTGACAAACGACATCATTATTGTATGTAACCTGTGAGTTCTTACTACAATTATTCACGTTGTAATTACATTTTTCTCAAATTTCACAGTAATGTAGTGACCTACTTTTATCAAGAGAACGCGATTGGTTTAATGAAAACAATTATTATTATAACCAACTGCACCTGTGCTTGTTTTAATGCGTCTTGTTTAACTGTGCTAATCACAGTCATATTGTGCTTCCACTACTACTCGATTGGTTGTGACCTTGCACAGGTTCGGTTAGGCTCGGTAACCACGTTTGTACTGCTTTGGCACGATCTCAGTATTTTTTCGATACCACGAGATCGCCAACAAATACGTCTCGACTACAGTCATCGACTGCCTTCTGATATTTGGCTTACGGGGGATTTTATCG